CTCCTGCCTCCGGCGGGGGCCGGTTTCTTTCGCTTCGCCGGCCTCCCCTCGCTTGGCGGCCGCAAGCCGCGGCACGACAGACGAAGTCGTGCCATTTCTGCAGTACGATGAGGTGCTGAAGGTCCAGCAGGATAAATACGACCTGCAGGGCGACCGACTTTTGCTGTACGACAAGTGGACGTGGGTGCGGGACCTGTTGATTGAGGTGTCAGGCAAGACACGCGACTCGGGCGTCATCAACTACCTCTCTGCCTCGGGTTTGGTGCACCCCTACTTCGTTGCCTCCGGGCAAAGCTCAGTCGATGGACCCAGCCGGTGGACGGGCTACTCATTTAATTGCCACGACGACGAGTGGAACAAGTTCCCTGACTTCCCACGCAAGGACTGCGCCTTCTGTAACTGGCCGACGGTGTGCAGCGTGCACTACAGCGGCACCAACAACATGCTTTATGACTGGCTGGTGAAGGGCAGGCTCGGGGAGCCGCAGAGCAGGGAGGTGGACTACACGTGGCCGCGGAACCTCGGCATCCTCGCGATGGACTTTCCTGACAATGCCTTGCTGAATGAGATCATCGACGTGAACTTCGTCGGCTCCGGCAGTCCCTTCAAAGGGGGTGATGAAGCGCATACCTGAGAAGTGCATCGAGAACCCGTGCCCTTCATGCATTGCGGGGGATGTGGCGATTACGACTGACGGCCGCGGCGTCGTGGCGGCCCGCGACGTGGTGGTGGGCGACCGCATCCCTGGCGCGGGGGAGGGGGAGTGGTGCGAGGTGGTCGCCGCGGTGCGGGTGGCGGACAAGGGCAAGGTGTTCGGCAACTTCACCGACGACCACTTTGTGGTGGCGCCGGCAGACGCGCCGTCCGGCACACACGTTGTGCGGGCGAGCGGAACGGGCGCCCCGTCGCGGGAGGCGGACCTTGTCAACATCGCGACGACGTGCCCCGCGGCGCGCGCAACGAGCGGGGAGCTCTTCACTCCCCTCTCCACAGTCTTCTGCAAGCAGCTCACCTGGGACGAGTACCTCCCCTTGTACGGCGCGCTTATGCGCATCGTGGCGAAGACAGGCGGGTTCTGGTTCGACCCGTCGACCTACGGGTCTGCGCCGGGCGCCCGTCCTGGCAGCCCCACCGGCCCGCCCTCATCGCCGGCGCTGCCCGGCCGGCTCAGCTGGATGGAAAGGCTGCCTGACATTTGCGACACGATGCGGTCGTGCACCGCCCGCGGGGCTCGGTGCAGCGAGTTTGAGAGGCTGGCGGGCGGCTGGGTGCGGCAGTACCTTCCGCCGGCGCAGTACGAGCAGGTGCGGCGCAGCTACCCCCGCCTCGGCGACCCCGACGCACGGCGCGGCAACCTCCTGCAGGACGTGGACCCCCGCTCTTCAAGCTCGTCAGACGGCCAGGAGGGCGGGAGGGGCGCGGGGGGTTGGCGTCTCTTGCTGCTCGGGCCGCTCCTGGTTGGCGGCCTGCTGTGAGCCGCCGCCGCCGCCGCCGCCGAAAGGGCCCAGCGTCTGGTGAAACGTTTGCTGCGTGTAAAACGGAGAACGACCTGCGCCCGCGTTCCCCCGCAGCCGCCGGAATAAAACCCCCCCCCCCAAAAAAAAAAAAGGAAGACGCAGCAAAAAAAAAAAATAAGAAACAAGACAAAATACAAAAGAAAAGAAAAGGAAGGGAAAGAGGAGAAAAAAAAGTAGAAACGAAGCACCAGAACATAAGAGGCAGCCAGAGATGAAAGAAACATATTTTATTACTGTTATTATTTATCGTTATATATATTTTTTGGTTTATACTTCAATTACTTTGTGAATGCCGCAGCGGGTTTGCTGCAGGGGCCATTGACAGGCCCAAAGCGGCCTTTCTTGGTCTGCAACAATTGAGTCGCCGGCAAAATGGGGGGGCGCTGAGGGGCCTCTGGTCTCCCCCCCACCCACCCCGCGCGAGGCGGAGAGGACCGGGCAGGTTTTTGCGGGGCGGGGCTTCAGCACGCGCACTTCCCAAGCCCCCTGCGGCAGTAAACTGAAGGCGGGGGAGGCGTGCCGGGGGCGCTCCTCACGGTCGGTTGGAGGGCACGGTCATTTCCACCCGCGGGCCGCCAAAAGTGCGGCGAAGGGCGCTGTCCAAGTGAACGGGGTGCTCGCATTTTTTTCCGCTTTGACTGTTTTTTTTCTTGCTGTTTTGGCGGGCCTGGACTGGCGTCGTGTTTTACGACAAGTGGGAACTCGTGCGGTGGGCGCGCCCCGCGCCGAGGCCGTGGCAACTCTCTCCTCTCCTCTCCCCCTTCCCCCTCCCTCTGCTCCCACACAGACGCACAGAAGCAGAAGGACAACGAAGAAGAATGAAGCGGTGACGGTGACGCAGTGGCGGTTTGCGACCTGGGCGCCACCGCGCTGGACGCTCCTCCTCGCCAGTGCAGGCTGCGTGTGTGTGAGTGTGAGTGCGTGTGGACGCGCGTCCGTCCCTGTTGCTGGCTGCTGGCGGGGACGCTCGCAGCGGCCGCCGGGGGTCGAGGACAGAAGTCGGCTTGTCCCTCGCCCAGTCGCCACTTCCTCCCCCCGCCTTGTTGCTTTTTTTCTCCCTCCCCCTCTCCTGCACTCCCTCCCACAAACACGCCGCTGCCGCCTGCATCGTACCGTGACCTGCTGTGGATTTGCCTCGCGGCGGTGCAGGTGCGCCACGCTCTCCCCCCCGCCGCCGCTTCACGTGGGGGCGGCGGTTGTGTCGGCTTTATTCATCCCGCATGTTTCTGCGTCTCTCTTCATTGCCTGTTTTTATCCCGCCGCGTGTGCAGTTGACAGCGTCGGCAGGAGTAAGCTGCGACTTACAGCACACCCACATATATATATATATATAAGGGAGGAGGGAACGCCTGCGTGCAAGCGACGCGAGTGGAGGCGCGATGGGGCAGGCGCACGCGCAGGAGCCTGGCCGTGCGCCCGGCGTGGGTGGAGCCCGTGCGCACAGCGACGCGAGCGGGTCCGGCACCCCACCGCTGCAAACGGGGCAGCTGCACCCGCATCGCCTTCCGTCCGTCGAGGCGCTGGAGATGGAGATTCCCGTCGTGCTCAGCAACTTCCCGCGGGTGCGCCAGCGGGGTGGGGGTGGCAGCGTGAGTGGCCCTTCGCGGCGGGAGACGATAGAGCGCGGTAATCCAGTGGGGGTGCCGTTTGACCAGTGGAGCCTCTCGACGATTGGCGGCGACAGCGCCGCGACGACGCACCGCCGCCGCAAAAAGTACACCACGACGACAGTCACCACGACGACCGTCACAAAAATTCTGCTCCCGCACATGCAGCAGGTTGTGGCCTTCCCCGACGCGGACGGGGCGGTGAACCACAACGCCGGCGACTCACAGGCAGTCGCGGTGGCCATTGAGGGCGGTAGCCGGGCGCTGCGGGAAAATTCAGGCGAGCTAAATCGCGTAGATGGTGCGGCGGTGCTGCGCGGCCCCGGTCACAGCATCGAGAAACGCCAGCTATCACCTAAGGAGGGGACGCCGGCGTCGAGGCCGCTTCAGCCCGCGCGCAGAAACCGGTCCTCGCGAGGTCAGCCCAATGAAAACGGTGCTAACTCCACAAACAACGGCAAAGGCGTACTGCCCGACATCGCATCCTTGAAAGTCTATCGGCTCGAGTCAGAGGAGCCGACGCCGCGTGAGGACGCCGCAGCTAGGCAGCCGCCGGATGAAGGAAGCTACGCGATGGCGCCACAGCAGCCGTGGCTATACAGCCAACAAACCTTTGGGAAGACAGCCGTGACCCATCATGGATCATCACTGCCTCGGCTGCCAGATGCGGGAAACCAACGCGGGCCAAGTCCCGGGAGCTTACCGGGTGCGTCCGCGGATTATAAAGGACACAATGAAGGAGGAAGCCTCGTGGGGCCGCAGTCTGTGGCAACACCGCCAAATCCACGACAGTTGCAGCCTATTGCGTACCACGCCCACCACAGAGGGATACAGCTAAGCCATGAGGCCGAAGCGCCGTGGATATTGAGCGAGGAACGGCAGGAAAATGGGTGGCGAGCAACGGAGTAAGAGGTGAGGAGAAGGGTGGACTGTGCAGTCTCCACTCATCCATGGCGTTTCTACCTTCAAACTTTCTAGAGTGCTTTCAAAGGGAACGGTCTAGTTTTGCACGTGTGCGAGGGCGTGAGCGACAGGAAATGTGTATAGCTATATCTTTGTATCCGGACTTATCTTGGTGAACTCCCTTCTCAAATTCTTCTTTCTAACGTTTCTTGAAAAGCGCACTTTTTTTTGTTTGGTTTTGTATTTATTTGTTTTGTTCTTTTTTTTTCTTTGGTGCCCAACGTCCGACCCGCCCCGAGCAGGAGAACGCGCTACCGGCACCACTCTTTTTCCGCCAATACTTCAATGATCGGCGGAGGACGCGGGGGGGTCGCCGTGGGATCTCGCACGCATCGTGGGCGTGTGTGTCTGCCCAACCTGGCCGTGCAGGCGGAGGGGCGATGCCTGGCGCTTTCTTTTTTCCCCACCCCACCTTTTCCCTGTAAGAAGGCAAAAAAAAACACACGCACACATAGCACGCGCAGCGGCGCACTGCCTTCGCCACCTGCCGCGCCGAGGCCCCTGCAGCACAAGACGTTGCCGCGCGAGTGGGCTGCACGGAGAGAGCGGCTGGGGGGAAGGGGGTTGCGGCTGGGCGGGGAAAAAGCATCCGTGACAGGATTCGAACCTGCAACCCTCTGATCCGTAGTCAGATGCTCTTCCATTGAGCCACACGGACACGGCGACCGCCGCCGCCGCGCAACGCAGCACGCAGCGAACGAAAAAAGCAAAAAAAAAAGGCGACGGCAACGGCGCGGGAGCAAAAGAAGAG